TCAACGCCCAATGTTAAAATCCGAATGACTTTTGTGTTCCTCGTGAAATTGACCGTTTCTAGTTCATAGAATTGGAGGGCATTGCATTTACACAGTAAAAAAATCGCTCAACTCTTGCGAAGGACTCGTCCGCGTACCGAGACGTGGAATTCTCGATCTTACGAAACGCAGCGGCGATACAAAAATAGCGGGCTTAATGGCCGCCGCTGTAAACCTTCCGCGGCTCGGAGGATATTACGGCGCAATTAAAAGCGGAGCCTTAAAAAGTCGCTGCAGTTTAATTTCTTCGAGAAAACACCTGCGTTTGCCGCTGACACTGCAAACTCGCCTCGACTGCGTTGCCAATTTATCCGTCAATCAAAGCCCGCTACGGGGCGGCCGATGCAAACCCTGTCGAATTTTACGATCTTCCAGATCTCGCTGGCCAATTCTCTCGATCTATCCTTGTCACTGTCTGTGAGGCAACAATGACAATTGAAAAAAAAAAAAAAAATTGAAATGAGAAACGAAACGTTAATTACACTGAACTGAAGTGTACAGATCGAGATTTCCAGCGTGCAACGAATTTCTCTTTAGAAAAGATAGAGAGGGAAATCCAACTTGTATTGGTGATCATTTTAGATTAGGAGGATCCAATCTCCCTTCAAACGAACACTCGAACATTTGCACGTTTTTACGAATCCTTCGAGAACGTGAGAAATCGCGGAGTAGCAACGCGTTTCCGAGCGAGAGTGGCATCAGCTGTCGAGGGAAACAGCCAAGCCAAAGAACGAGGATCGGCTCGAAAAGTTTTTGAAGAAGATGGTCCAGGCGTGTGGCGGTGGTTCGCGCGAATACGTGCCACTTACACGGGAGCACGGGAGTTTTCGGGCTGTTGAGTCCCTCGACGCGCGGACGACGAAATTCCTCGAGGCAACGAATTAACGAGAAGCCATTCGGGCAGCCATAGCGCGAGCCACGGACCGACTCCAGTGGAAAAGGGCTCCACGGTCTGGCGACCGTAGCACGCGACACCATATGGTCTGCCCGATACCCATGACCTCCCCTCTACGCCTACAAACGCGCCTTCCTCGGAGCGAGAAAGATACCACCGGCTACGAAAGATACGACCGCGGGAGAACTTGGCCGAAATGAACGACGAAGCAACGTTCCAACCAGAAAACGTTTCGGACCAGATAACGAACCGAGAAAACACTTCTTTACGAGCGTGTCGAGCAACGTTGAACGACCGAGTGGCACACAGTGCGCTCCGCTTCCCTCCCCGGCTGCTCTTCTCCTCGTGGATCGATCGTCGTGCTTTCGTTCGATCACACAACTTTGTTTTCCATCTTCTTCTTCTTCTTCTTCTTCTTCTTCTTTTTTGCTGCGCTTGTTATTCCGAACCAGACACTACACTTTCGAGAGTAAGTTAAACGACGAATATTTTTACTATTCTTTCGTGCATCGAAATTATATCAAATAATTTCAGTAGTCTCACTTCTTTGGAAGGAGTGCTCCTCCTCCGGACAAAATGTGCTTCAAATTTCTGAGCGAGGGATATTTCTTTGGAAATTTATTTGAATCAATCGAATCGTATTCCCACCACGTCGAGCAAAGCTGATCTCCACTTCAGCCTCCAGGACAATATTTATACTTCCAAAAAACGAACTAGGGTTCGTTAGTATTTTTCTTTCTTTCTTTCTTTCTTTTTTTTTTTTTTTTNTTTTTTCTTTTTACAGGGGCACCGCCCCGTTATGATACACGATCCAGAGACCTCAGAGAAAGAAAGGAAAGAAAAATGAAGAGAGAAAGAGAGAGGAAGAGGGTCATGGCGTTGCGGAGAGACGGTGGTGAAACTGAACGATAAGTGAAACTCCCAACGGAGGCAAAGCGGGAATACGGGTTACGGCACCCTCGAGGACACTAGAACGCTCATATCCTAATAGAAACGTAATCGCGTAGTCCTGCACGCTGAATAAATTATTAGCAGGCTTACGGTATGGCTCGGAGGGTTCGCGTAACACACCATATCGCCTGGATTAACGACGATCTGCACCGTGGGACAGTCAAGGATTTATTCGGTCGTGACTCTCCACGCTTATTTATTATTATTTTGGCCCCATTATCCATTATTGCCTCGCGATTTTTCGACGCACCAGCCAATATACTCTGTTATCCCGAGAATAATCGCCGCATCAACGACGATGCATTCACCGTTTTTTCCAATTTATCATTCTCCCGAAAGCTAAAGATCGCAGACATTTCGACACGGCTCAACGCGAAAAATTTCGCGTCGATGTAATGTTTTATCAACGACTAGATAAATACGGATTTTCGTGCATTTATGGGAAATCTGAAGATTGAAAAATGTATAAAATATCCAAGAATGAACTGTAACGAACAGGAAGTACCTTGAAAATCTCATATATTTTTTCCGATAATAAAAATACAATACGCGTAAAAAAATCTGCAATCTAATAACGACATACGTATGTGATCAGCGGACTGAAACACGTCGCCGAAATCGAGGAGCCGTAATAATTAATCTTATCGATCATTCCCGAAACGAGTGCCTTATCAAACCAATTTGCAGGGAAACGTACAATCGCATGACTCATATTTTTAATCATCTGCGACCCTGAATCTCGTCGAACCTCCGTAGAATTTCAGATACCGAGCCGATTCGATAAATTATCGATCGCCACGTTATTATCAAGAAAATTTGTTGTGTAGAGAAAAAAATAAAATTCATCGAAATTTAACTATAATACTTATAATACGTGACTAAATATTCTATATACAGATCGTTAAAATTTAAATGATGTTGATTTAATTTAATTTATTCAAGATAACAAAAATTAATGAACCGTAATTACGAAAGTGGTGTAATGTCGACATTTTGAAAGAGACGAAGAGGAAAAAAAGGAATTGAAATAAAAAATAGAAATACGATTTACATAAATTGAAATGAATAGACTTACGTGTCTCTATCTAAACAAAAATCAATATTAATTTCGTATGTTTCCAGTAACTGTAAAGAAAAAAAAGAAAGAAAATCAGTATTAATAAATAGTAGCAAAGAAACTTACTACCAAATTCTTCAGTGTTAGATTACTGCTAAACTACAACCAAGTTTTACAGATTGTGAATCACTTGACACTACTTTACTTGCTTAGAAATTATAAAATCACAGAAGCAATGTCTACAACTTGTAAAAAAAAAAAAAAAAAATGAAACTCGTAACTTGCAGTTACTCTCTGGATTTACACTAAGTAGTAAATTATTACACGACAGAATTCTAGCGATTTCAATTCAATCGTTTTGCAGAGTATGAAACTAAAATTGCCCAAGTGTTTAAATTAGTATAAATACACGATCCTTAAATACACAGATATAACGCTGATAATGCAGAAGATTAATGTTAAAGATTCGCAATGGCACGTGCATTGAAGAATTAATTGCGATCGATTACGTGTCGTTCGTGATACGAGAGAATTTCTTCGCCAGATCGTAGAAAGTCGATCTTTCGACGATTGGAAATAATCGACGTCGAGGGAGAGTGCGAAAACACCGCCCACGGCCCTTATCCGAACCCCCGTCGACATATTTACCCCTGTTTGCCGGGTAATCACGGAAATGGTAGTTTATTGACTACCAACGTGCCCCGAGTCGAATAAACGGCAAACAATCGCGCGACACGAAAAGAGGAAACGGAATTGTAAAACCTCGGTTATACCCGCAGATTTATCCTCCAATAAATCGTTTAAGAGGGGGGGGGGGGGAAGGAGAATTTAAACAAGCGCGAGTGCGTATATTTGATCATCGAGAAGCGATTTATTTTAGCCTCTTTTTCTCCGCCACTCGAAGGAGAATCACGAACGCGGACGACAAATATTTAACCTTCTCCTACATTGATCGACATTATATTCCATTTAACGAAAGCCCGGCTCTCCCCGTTCGCGTACACGCGTTACGTATTTTCAAGATTAATCTTCTTCCAAAGCTACGCTACGAATGGCGAAGATATTTTAAAATTATTGCTACTTTTTAAAAACCTAGTCTGTGATTTTTTTTTAACTGGTCTCAAATTTCGAAGTAAGAATCTCTGCGTGTGTCGTTTGAAGCTCACCCCCATTGCTGAACAAAATTGTTATCAAATCGAAATTCTAACAAACTTGGCTCGTTTTTAATGTTTAAATACTTGGTCGTCGAATTTTATTATTGTTTGTTCCACGTACAGAAGACTGGCGTGAAGTACGTAAGAGACTCTTGAACCTAAAAATACGAACGAAAAGCGAAAGTCCTATAAATCATCATTTTCCACTTCTCGATCTTTCCTTCGGCATAGCACCTCTTTTTTACAAATCGCGGAACGACAACTGTTAAAAATCTTCCCGTGCGAAGAACGTTATTAATTTTCGTAACTTCTCAAATTTCGCCTCCTTTTCTACGCGGTTCAATAAACTGTTAAAAACACTCGAATGCCAAGGGTTTATCGGCGAATAAAAACGAAATAACCACCATCGGCCGAGAAATGAAAATCTGCGCAAGGAGAACGGCCATTTCGATGGATAAAAAACGAGAAGCGCGCGACCACGGTGGATTAGGTTCACCGGAGAAACAGACTCGACGAGATCGCCGAGTTTTAACTCGAGCTTCGACTCTTGGTAAAATCATTATACTCTATAACTCGGCTCGTAAAGATTACGATCGTGAACGGGTCTCCCTGAGATCATCCGAGCGTCTTGCACGAGCCGCGCGCTCAAGAAACTACCGAGAGAGAGAGAGAGAGAGAGAGAGAGAGAGAGAGAGAGAGAGGAGGAGGGGGGAAAAAAGGAAGTGTAATTTACGAGCTAACCTAATTCCATCGTTTTCCCCGTTGGTGGCTTTTATCAATCGCGCCGCTGAACTCATATGGTCCCGATACGTTCGGGGGCCATTATCGAATCCCGATGTCGGGACAGGAAACACATTTACTATCGACTGGCATGCGTTTATCGAAACTTCTTTGAGTCACTCACCCAATGCTGCGTCGTTACCACCTCGCCGTCCGCTCCGTCCAAGGCCTGCTGAATATAAACCAGTACGAGATCAGTTTTCACCCTGATTTTAGGAATGCTACGTATACACAGTGGTAGTTTAAATGGAAATTGGAAATTAACAAGCAAGTCACAAGAATAATCTAAATTACTCTGAGAGTCTAAAAATACAAGCTACCGAGCTATTAAATTTCGCATTTAAATTTTAACTTTATCGTTGAATCATCGCGCTATATAACCGAACGTAACCATAACGAAATCCTAAATCTTCGAACAGAGGGAAGATGATACTTACGTCCTTCTTCCTCTTCACGGTTCCGGCACCTGAAACAAAATTCAACGATTTAACTTCTTCACTTCTCCGGTTTCTGATTGAACGATCTCTCAAAAAGTCGGTCTCTCGAGGAGAAGGAAAAGATAAAACTGACCGGCTGTCGAATTTGGTAACCGGGCTGCACCGTTGGTGCCGGCGGGTGCTGCAGGATTAGCAGCAGGGGTGGGCGTCCCCACGGAGGGCGGTACACCACGGCTTCCAAACGGGAAGTACGGCGAGTCCGGGGGGTAAGTGGCACCCTCGACACCTCCGCCGCCTCCATTTCCACCGCCGCCTCCGCCGCCACCGCCTCCGCCACCACCTCCACCTCCCCCTGGCCCCCCGCCTGGCCCTCCTGCCGTTGGACCGAACGTTCCTCCGCCATACGTCTGGAAAAACAAAATTGTCATCCTTACTTTCCTGTACGGTGACGCAGTAACCACCGTTCAACCCTTTTAGCAGCCCGATAAGACACGTCAGATTACTCTGCGATTATTGTCTCTTACTTCAACACTTTGAACATTTCTTTTCTTTTTTTCTTGTACATTTGAATATTTTCTTTTTGACATCTCCTCTCCGCAAAAGTAGTGCGTCTGCTGCTTTCTCACACGTTCTCTTTCTAGACGATACGTAGAAAAGATTGTGAGATGCTAAGAGGATTAAAAAGATAGATTTCAGGTTAGATACCTGAGCCAAAAACCAGATGAAATTTTCGCGAATTCTTCTCATAAATTTTTAAAAGTTTCAAAAGCATACAAAACACGCGAGCTTCGTGATAACATTTAGCAGGTAAATTTAAGAAAATATAAAATTTAGTAAAAATTAAAAGGAGTAGATAAACTTTAAACTTCGACCTCTATCTCTTTATTCGTTTATTGCAAAATTATAAATCTATCAATATCCGCAGTGTAGAAATCGGTAAATGAAAAGTTTCAATTTCGTTCTGAGAACGTTGCAAAACTAGTCAAATAAACAAAAGAAATTCCTTATTTTTTCGAAAACCAAGTCTATCATGCCACCGTGCCATTCTCGAAAATGACGTTCAAACGCGAATCAAAGTAATAAGAAATCAGCCTTGCACCCGCATTCGTCACGTTATTCCGATTTGACCTTCCATTTGTCAGTGATTACGGATATTTCACAGTGAAAAATCCGCCAGCTGAAAAATTGGCAGCCTTCGTTCTCTCGAAGAAATGTCTCGTTTTTCAAACAATTTCTTTTTCACCCTGTTACGTAAAAAGAAAAAAAAGAACACACAGTGTACACAGGCGAATGATGAATGCAAGGTTTCTACGAGGAAACGGAGATAGCAGTGATTTTTTCCACGGCGTCAGGGAGCAGAGTACGTATCTAATCGGCAGTCGTTAAACCATGCCTGATAAGAAGTATTGATTTTGATAGGTTTATTGAAGTCACCTTCTATTGGTTTCTTTCGACTATCTTCTTCCTCGTGTCTCTCTACCACTAATCCTGATCGACACGAATATCGATCTAACTCTTCCAAGAATTATTATTCACCCTTTTGCGTATGTGTCTACGTAGCTGATTAAATCTGCCAGCGATTGTGAAATTCTGAAATTGTCTGACCTTTGTTCTCTTTATAAATAAATAAATAAACTGTCGAGACTATATTTTCGATCAAGATTATCAAATAATAAATAAAACTGAAATAGAAATACAAACTGTTGCAATTGATCGGAATGTCAAGAATAATAGCGAGATAACAATTATGCAAACCTAGAACTGTTTCAATAATTCTGCACCACGTAATGATGCAATAAATCACGATAACTGCACTGCGGATTTTTTTAAGCATCCGCTCCGCCCAAGAAGAAAATCACGCAAGACAACAAGTTAAACTATCACCACGATCACCGTTCAAAGAAAAATCCGTCGGTAGAGAAAGAGAAGGTTAACTCGCGCTTCACATAAACTCTATCAAAAACGTTTCGCTTCGACCGTTCTTCCGGAAGCGTAACTAATTAGCAATCGCCACGAAGGTTACGCGAAGGCGAAAGAAATAGATGGGCAGTAAGCCACGGAGGAAGAAAGTACGAGGGACTTTATCCACACACACACGCACGCACACACATACACACACACACACTCGGATAACTTTTCATCCGAGCTCGCTTAAACTCGCTACCTCCCTCGGTTCCTTTGTTCGGTACAATGTATATATTAATATGTGCTCGTGTGTGCATGTACACGTACATAAGCGTATAAATACATCGTCGCGAACGAGGGAGAGCGTAAGTGATATTAAAGCCGGAGGTTGACGACGCTCAACCCTCGCGAAATTGGGTAATTCTTACATCCGAGACAAAATGAACTTCCACCGCGAATTAATCTCCTTTCTGTACAAAAATACGCCGCCCTCCGAATTCACGAAAGAGAAAAAAAAAAGTCACGCGTCAACGCGCACATGACCAGACTGGCGAGAGAAATTTTTATCGCCCAGTATAAATACTCGAAATGAACGAGAACGACGTAAATATATCTGAATGGTTGAATTTACTAACGATCAAAGGAAAGAAATTTCTAATTCGCGCGAGGAAATTACGGTACACCAGAGACTTATGTTAATATTTTCATTAAAAATAATTCAACAAATTCCGCTTGCCAGAGAAGTGCATAAAAATTCACGATCCGTACATACGTGACGTTCCTCACGAAGTTTCTACATTTCGAACGACTAGAACCGCGGGAGGGAGGAATTTTAAGAACGTTTAACGGATGCTGTTCCCTTTGTTACCGAGGACCTGAAGAAATTAAATCCCGGCTTTACGGATTTAAGCCACTCCGGAAGACAGAGGCGCGCGGCCAGTGTGTTTTTACCTCGGAGAATTTCCTCAACGCACGATGAGAACCGCTTTCCCCAAAAATATTACTCGGGCTAAAGTTTTGGGATTACGTTGGGAGGGGTAGCGACAAAGAGAGAGAAAGAGAGAGAGAGAGAAGAAAAGGAGTAACTTTTTCTCGGATAAATTTGCCTCTACGACTGTAATAATTATTGCGCTCCTGTTTCTTACGTAATCCTGCTTTATCTTAAGATTCGAAATGGTCAACTCTACATCTCTGGAGGAGAGGGAAAATTCACCTCTACCCCATGGAACGTCATCCAGTTTCTGCCTCGCGTTTTAAGAATAATCAACGAGTCGAAATAAAGAAAGAAAGAAAGAAAGAAGAAGAGAGGAACGAAGACTCACCATTCCGTTGTCCATTGTGGGGCCATACGGCGACTGGAAGCCTAGTTTTTCTGCAACAGAGAAGAAAATCGGGTTAAAATTCATTCGTCACGACAGGTCAGAGTCAAATCAAAGCTGGGGAATTTTTAAGCAATTTACGATTGACAATAGACTGCTCGACTCTCGTGTTATTAACAACGCGATAAATAACGCGTTGAGAGTTCAACAACATTCTAGCTTTCTGGTTTTTCAACTAAAACAAGTGTTGTAGATAAAATTTGTCTTTCGATACATTTATGTTCATTTCTCTCGTCAATGATACAGTTGGTTTTGTCAGATTGTCGCAACAACGCCCAGACAGAATGAAACGAAAGAGGAAAGGAACGTCGTAATTTCACGAAAACTAAGTAACAGATGGGTCGAATTTTAAAACAGCGACTCCTATTTACCATTCCGTAAATTTCGCGCGACAATTTTTCAACATGAGTCGAAGGCAAGCGGGAGTATCGAGAGTAATACTAATAACACGAGGCGTGCATTATTCGCAGAGTGGTTGGCTGGTCCCAACGAAAAAGAGGGAGCAGCGGAAATAAGACGAAGAAGACACGGGGCTGTTGCGGAACGTTGCGTCGCGGCAAGCAAGCGGACTCGATGCAAAATTAATGCCAGGCATAAATTCGCGCCGCGTCTTTATAAATCAAAACCGCGGATCGCGCTAAGAATCCGAGCACGGGATGCACGCGTTTTCCGCGTTGCGGCTGCGACGCATGCGGAATAAACAACGAGATAAACATTACGAGTTTGCCGCAGTCGAGGCTTCATCCGTTATTAATGCCCACCCTGTACGTACACACGCGCGAGTATAGAGAGAGAGAGAGAGAGAGAGAGAGACGAGAACGTGAATCTACGTGCGCGTGTCTTGCCAAGAATTTATGAGGATCGGCTGGATTTACCGATCTCGAAAACCGCCGTTCAAGAGTTCCGATTAATTTTAATTCGACAATATTTTATCCTTTATACGCTTTATTCCGCGATTCGATCATCGTCCCTCGAACTGCGTCACAAAGAATACGATCCAGCTAGCTTTGAATAGATCTACCTTGAACGAATCTCTGATCTTAGAACAGAGTACATATATTGAAATTTCTTCTCCCGTTTCTTTTTTTTTTTTTTTTTTTAAAGAAAAGGTCTAAAAAAATACTATATTATCAACCAGCGCAGAATACTGAACTAAATCACGAAGAAAGAAACAAGGATCAAAAATTTCTGAAATCATGGAGGGGAATGCCAACCAAGGTCCATTTTCCTGACAAGCCACGAACGATACTAGTTTTCTTTAACTCGATCAATGACGACAGTATCGCGGAGTAACGTAGAGACGTAGATCGTCGAGGGATAGAGGGGCAGAGACATTGTTGCCGTGAATCCGCGTGAAACACCGCTCGGACAAGGACGAGCAACTCCCGGAATCTCGTGGACCGGAATCCGTAGTAATTCTTCATCGAGCAATATTCGATAGAGGTGACGCCGGCAGGAGCCAACGTGGAAGACGAACTAGTTGTGACACGGAGGCCCGGTGCTCAACACTACGTCATAACGGTCGAGCTGGCTTGCACTTGGCTCTGAGGATGACACGATGGACCATGGTTTAGCTTGTACTTTGATGCATGATATTGCAGGACTCGGCACTGTACGCTTCGGCAAACATGTCACGAGCAAGCCGAAACTGTTAGGATTCATAGTTACCTCGGCCGATCGTGGCGTAGCTCGGACACTAGCCCTATCATCCACGCACCGCTATATCCGTTCTCTCTGTTAATGTGATATACCTCCTTCTGTACCACCCCCCCCCTCCCCCGCCTCCCTTCTTGGTCACCAAACCAGCTCTGAACTTTCAGCTCTTACAACTTTAGATAAGAGGATCGTCCCCCCTCCCCCTCCCACTCTCTTTCTCTCTCTCTCTCTCTCTGTCTGTCTCATTGAACCGATAGGTGAATTACTTGGAATAATTAATATCTCCCCCAAGTCACTGCTCTGTTTCATCCCCCAATCGCGATACCGATGGCTCGATCGTAGATGAATGTATTACACGCGCGGCGAAAACTACATTCTGTTAAATTATATATAATTATACGCCTATTGATATCACATTTTACGATTATACGGTTGATGTTTCAAAATTGTTCGTGCAACGCGATTAAACTTTTGCGCTGGAATGACGTGTCACACACGTCAAGAATCTTCTGTAGCCAAGTTGCAACATTTTCTCAGTTTCAAGTATATTTAAATGTAAACCCAGGCAAAACAAACGATAAGTTTGTTACTTCTTAATAATTTCTAGCCAGCGATATCAATACCGACGAGATAAAGAAAGCGACAAATTATTGTATACGGTCACTCGTTATGGTCCGCAAACCAGTTGCCAGCGCCCAAGTCGAAACATTCCACTCACAAGAAGATGCCAAACCTCGCGTAAGCGAGTCACCATCATAAATCGGTCAAAGTGTCCAGTCGATTATACGCGCAATAATTATTACAACGAAACAATAAACTTCAGCTAGAAATCGCGAGCGTGCAATCACGTATTCTGTGCAAGCGGCGTTTGCAACGTTTCTTGGCTGAAAGAGAGAGAGAGAGAGAGAAAGAGAGAGACGGAAAACAGGAGCGGGATCGCGGAAAGAGAGAACGCGCGCATCGATAGCGAATTACGCGGCTACATCCGGCGGCTGGTCGCCGCGATACCATCTACACGGATTTCGGCCGACATCAATTCGGCATTACAGCTCGCGAAATGCGCGACACAACCTCGAAAACCACGCGCCACGCCGCGTTGCGCGCGGCGGACCAGCGATTTTCAACGCGCGAGACACGACCGCGATTTCGTGGTCAGCCTACGCTCGGCGTCGTATATCAGCGCGACACCATCGAATTAGAATTATCTAAAATTATTTCTCCACCCTCGTCGATCGCGGTGTTGTTACCTCGCCAACATCTCTCCACACTTCGCCGCTGTCCCGGTCCGTTCCATTTCACTTAGGCGAAGCAAATCCATCGACATCGACGTGGCAATTCCGAAAAGTTCATCCGGATTGCCTGCGTACGTTCTTTCCGGAACGCGTCGCTGGCTCTGCGGACCGATCGATCGAGGAAAACACGAAAGTTAAACTCGTTTATATATATATATATATATCTACACCTTGTCTTCAAATTTCCCACGAATGTGGCAAATTTTTTACGCAGTATTGGACTATCTTTCACAGAGAAATTCAATATTCCAAAAATCTGCAAAATGCATGCAACGTGCAAAGTTTGGCAGATGAAACAATTCCACTTCTCTGATTATATTTACGAAAGCACGAAAATCAAAAAAAAAAAGAAAAAAAATACTGATAAATATAAAGTTCGTACCGCAGATATTTCACTACGAATTTCCACCGAATAAACGATTCGAATAAATAAACGTCAATCTGTGTATTAATTAATTAACAACCGAACAAGGTTGTTATTTTAAATCTTCGATTAATTCGCATCGTCAACGGCGCGTTGCAAACGCGCGAAATTTTCGCGGTGGAAAAAAGCAGCGAGGGGGCGGAGGAGGGTGGGTGAAAAAAAAATATCGGGCGAATATTACGGCGCGGCGGAAGTGCCGGACACTTTCGGCGTTGACGACCTCGTAAAAAAGCGCGCGTGCAACGACTAAGCGTCGAAAAACAAGCGCGCGCGCGCGTGAAAAAGGGAAAAATGGTCGAGAGGGACAAGGCGCGACGAAACGGCAGAGCCGTGTGACGTATAATGCGTATATTTGCATTTCGCGGTGCCCGGAAAAACGCAGTCACAAGGGCTCTCTTTCTCTCTCTCTCTCTCTTTCTCTCGCTTTGAACGTGATACACAGCTCGATCTCGCTGTAGAATCTTTAGACACCGAGTTTTTTAGCCGAGTGAAATGAAAGAACAGGTGGTAAAAATGCGGCTTAGGCCTAGCGAGGTTCGGGGTTAACGAACAAGGGTTTAATTAACGAGGCTCGTTCCACCGGTATGGCGAGCGTTGAATTTCCATGATTCAAGGACAATCGACGCGGACAGAGACGTTGAGAGAGAGACGCGATTACGCGCTCGATCGAACGTGCTCAACGTGCACCGTGGATTGAGTGACTATACTTTGAGCCTGGAATCCGGCGACAATTTGACCCCATCATTTTTTTCTTCCCCTCCCTTCTCGAAAAACGATCGGTCGCCTGATCTGCGTGGGTACCCTATCGAACTCTGGCGAAATTTCGATCCTTTTCGTTCCCATAATGAATATCTTCGATATCTTCGTGGTAGGTACTTGGAGCGTAAAGTCTGAGATGAAATTCTCCTGAATTTCTAGGGAAAATCGGTCAGCGTCGACTCTGTCGTTTTACTCGCATTGTCAGTGTTTCTGTCGTTGCTCGTTATTTCTTTGCGAGTATAATATCGTCTGGTCATCGAATTTACACAGTACACAGATTGTCTCATAACTGGTGATACGGTAGGAAGTGATTCTATGTAAAAAGACTTTTTAGTTAAGTCAAACTTCACAATTTATCGCGTACATTTGAATTTAGTTAATTTCGTGCCAGACAGGCGCGAACAATCGACACGAAGAAGTGTTCTGTGAGCGAAAACATGTGAAAAGTAGTAGAATAAACTTTTCTCGTTTGTGTAATTTTTTAATAAAGCACGTTTGAGTTTGTACGTTCCGTTAAGAATTGCCTTGGTTGCTTGATACATTTTTCAACTCGAATAAAAACTTTATTCTATTCTTTTTATTTATTTTCGCACATACAATAACCTCCTGTTAATTACTGCTTCTCGTCTAATTTTTAGATAAATTCAAGTATACTTGACAAACTTTCAATTAGCCCGATTATCTCGAAAACGAAGAATTTAATGAATAAATTTTATTCTTCTTCACGAGAAACCACCTGCTACTCAGTTGTACCACTATTTATGGGATATACATAAAATCGCTTTACTTCTTTTCCAATCCAGTTTCCCAGTGATACCAGTTAAGATTAAAGATTCGGACTGTAAAACATGAAACAAAAAGT